AAAATAAACTTTGATTGATTGATTGATTGAAGAAAATTATAACCTCTATCATTATAAAAATTATAATATGTAACTCACCTTTTATCATCATCATCATCATCATCCCCGTGATTAGTTATTTTGTGTCCGTTACAACGTGCTAGAATTGCTCTAAAGAAAAAAAATTATACCTCTCATAAAACTTGTTATATAAAGTTAGTATATGTACGGACTTACGGAGCTTTATGTTGATTTACTTGTCTTAATTTATGCATCAGGGGCATTAACTTGGTGTTTAATTTACCTGTGCTGTATAAAATGAAATAAAGTATTAAACATCTGATTAAGACATTAAGGAAAAATGAGATCTTACCATATTTCACCCTTTGGCTGTAGACCTCTCGTAACTTTTGCTGTTGGGGTTAAATCTTCATCGGTGTTATAATGTGTCAATAAACGACCCTTTCCTAGAGATAAACTAAATTAAAACATTTAATATGAATACTGTAAAATTTTATATTAATAACTTACCTGTATTAGACATATTGTATAACCTTCTCTTAGACCAGGGGTGTCATTCATACGGCCCGCGGGCCGGAACCGGCCCGCCAAGAGATTTGACACGGCCCGTGGCTCATTTATGTAAAAATATAATAAAGTTACATTTTAAAAAGCCGCTCCGCGACGCGAGGCTCCGCGCCGCGAGGCGCCGCGACGCCGCAGCGCCGCGCTCAGGGGTGAGTCCAGTGCGTCTGTAGTGGCTCCACCAGAGCGGTGCTGAAGGAATAACATCTTAAACTACAAGACTCGGCGAAAAATACGGCACTTTGAGCGAAGAATAGAGAAAACAGAAGATAAACATGTCTGGCCCTGAAGACACAGCAGTCTGTTTGTGCCCAGAGCGAGAGGTTAGTTCTGCTGCTGTAAAGGGAAGCTACCTGTGCTAACAACATTAGCATTAGCATCGCAGCCGCACAGTGAGAGAGAGTTTGTTAAAACTCTCACAGGCTGCAGACATGGTCTGAGAAACCACTCGCTTTTACCAACATGTTGCCATTGATAAGAGACTGATGTTACTGATGTCACATATTCATTTGTGGTGTTACTGAAACTATCAGAGGAGTTTTGAGCGCTGCTGCTGGTGCTGCTGCTGGTGCTGCTGCTGGTTCTGCTGTTGTTGCTGGTGTGTTGGACAGTGTGGACGGGTACCGATGGTAAAAACAGGTGTAGTGACAAAGCTGCAAATGGAGGTGATGATTTTTGGACATTTGACTGTATTTTACACAGAGACACTGCTGCAGTCGTTAAGAATGAATCACGTTATGGAAGTAAAACTTGCTAAGAAGTACAGATGATGGGTGAGAAACCTTCCTTTGCTTTGGTTATGGAAGTTGTTTTATTCATTTCAACTGAATCATGGTCAGTTTGATGCTTTCTCTGTGATAATAACATAACCATGGACCTTACCACACTGAAGATGGTTAATGTGATAATAACATAACCATGGACCTTACACACTGAAGATGGTTAATGTGATAATAACATAACCATGGACCTTACACACTGAAGATGGTTAATGTGATAATAACATAACCATGGACCTTACCACACTGAAGATGGTTAATGTGATAATAACATAACCATGGACTTTACCACACTGAAGATGGTTAATGTGATAATAACATAACCATGGACCTTACACACTGAAGATGGTTAATGTGATAATAACATAACCATGGACTTTACCACACTGAAGATGGTTAATGTGATAATAACATAACCATGGACCTTACCACACTGAAGATGGTTAATGTGATAATAACATAACCATGGACCTTACCACACTGAAGATGGTTAATGTGATAATAACATAACCATGGACTTTACCACACTGAAGATGGTTAATGTGATAATAACATAACCATGGACCTTACACACTGAAGATGGTTAATGTGATAATAACATAACCATGGACCTTACACACTGAAGAAGGTTAATGTGATAATAACATAACCATGGACTTTACCACACTGAAGATGGTTAATGTGATAATAACATAACCATGGACCTTACACACTGAAGATGGTTAATGTGATAATAACATAACCATGGACCTTACCACACTGAAGATGGTTAATGTGATAATAACATAACCATGGACCTTACCACACTGAAGATGGTTAATGTGATAATAACATAACCATGGACCTTACCACACTGAAGATGGTTAATGTGATAATAACATAACCATGGACCTTACCACACTGAAGATGGATAATGTGATAATAACATAACCATGGACCTTACACACTGAAGATGGTTAATGTGATAATAACATAACCATGGACCTTACACACTGAAGATGGTTAATGTGATAATAACATAACCATGGACCTTACCACACTGAAGATGGTTAAGCTGAGGTGCTGTGTTTAAGTGCTTTTTTCTATCTACCTACTTTACCTTTGTGAGCAGGTTTTCTCTGTAATGAGCCTTAAAACAAAGCTAACACACAAATATTAATATACATATTGTGAAATACCATTTTCAATGTAATATTGTAAATACGCTACATTATTTGCACTATGGAAAACTCACTGTTACATTTAAGTTTGTAACAGAAAACTGAGTATTAAAGGATAGTGTTTTAAAGGAAGTTTTAAATAAATGTGTTTATGTGCACAAAAAGTTGGACTTTGTACCGTTTTTGGATATTTTTGTAGAGCATCTCCTGGTCCGGCCCACTTGAGATCAGATTAGGTTGTATGTGGCCCCCGGACCAAAATGAGTTTGACACCCCTGTCTTAGACAGTCGTAATGCGTTTGAACCATTGAAAAACTTCTGATAGGACGGTGTAAACAGACCTCCCACCCATTCTGATTTGTTGTTAGTACTCCCTCCCAACCGTTCATCATGATAACACTATCACACACACACACCTGTGTCGTTAACAGGTCCTCCCCTGCAGCTTAGCTATTAACACGTCTTCCTAACTGTTTGCTTTAGAATAAACATGTGCTATGATAAACCGTGATCAATAAATCACTTTAGACAACTGTGAAGCATTTACTTTATCACACACACACAGGGTCAACAGAAGCTAACTCATTACATATTCAAAAACTCTTTGAAAAAAACAGTGCAGTAACACTTTTTCACCACTTGCTCAAGAGCGCCGTCTCTTTTCTGGGGAGTTTTAGGGTGCAGTACCACCTTTTCACCACTTGCTCAATACTGCCGTCTATACTATCTACTAATGGCGAATAATGCGATAGTAAAGTAATCCGGTCTGGTTCTATCAAGAAATTGAAGCCGGAGCAAGAGTAATGTTTAGCAAATGTAATCGCTGGAAAAAATTGTGGCGCTACTCCCCACGGGCTCCGTTAGCGGCAAAGGAGATGGCTAGGCTAAATGCTAAATGCTAACGACAGACTCAGGTGCACTACATACGTCACGGTAAACTCAGATCCAATCGTTTCAATCTGCAAAAGGAGTTAACCCCTCCCACCTGTAAACGGAGCTCAATGGAGCACCTCCAGACCTTAGTACGAAATGTCATTTGTACTATGGTGTGGTACGACCAGGCTAGGAAATCCCCAACAACAGCCAACTGCAGCTCAGGAGAGGCGAGGCAGAGCAGGCAATGAGGCTGAAATCATAGGCTTGGGGTGCGACCCAGAGGAGGGCCCAAGGCAGGCAGATACTGTAATGTGAAACAAAACAGTTTTAAAATGTTTATGAAGTTTTTCATATAGGATTAACGCAAAAGAAATGTGAACCATTTGTAACGGGTGTCACCAGTGGGTGTCGCTGGTGTCAGCCTTAAAATAGGAAGTTGGCTACGTGCCAGACAGGTGCCAGTTTCCGTGGGCGGCCAGAGTGGTTGCTGGGCCCATGTGTGTGTGCGTGTTTGGCCAAAGTTACGGTGAGCTTTTAAAATAGTTTATGCAGTATTATGGTGATGAAATTAATTGTTTTGTTCTGTGGTAGGGAGGCCGTGCTGGTTGCCATTGGGCAAATAAAGATCTGTGTGGAGCTGTGTGTGGGGGTTGCGACGCACAGGTAGCAAGTTTTTAACAGGTTTTTAAATTATTAAAGTTTTGTTTAAGATATTAAGGGTTTTGTGTTTTTCTGTTTTACAGTGGTTTTAATATTTGCTGCCTGCTGTCCTTTTGAGTGTATTTTCATTTCTGTTATTCAGCCTTGCTCATTAACATTCAGCGCTTTGTAAAGGCGTCTAACTTTTATATTTTGGGTCACTTCTCCTTCATAGTAATAAAATAAATACTGTAAATATTCATACCAGTTTTTACATGTCTACTTATTGCCCGGCTCTGGTAACACATTTATATTGCACAATGGTGCATTTTGGATGTGGTGGTATTTCATATAATTGTTCACTTTAATAGACTATTTTGTACAAAACCAATAATTATGCAGACTAACACAAAGGACAAAAGGTGATTTCAAATTTCTCTAACTTAGAAATCTCTAGCAAATAAACGTTTGGCAGCGTATACAAAATAATTGACTCTTTCACTACAAAGTTGTGTTCCATGTGCAGCCAGTTCAGGTTGTACTTGTTGTACACATGTTGTACACATTTTTCTTGCTTTTTTCTACCTGAGAGGTTGCTGCAGTATGTTGTTCATGGCTTTGCACTGGGCCAGACTAGACCAGACTGCTCCACCCAGCAGACGTTCTACCTCTGCTGCTGTGACATGACTGTTTCTGCTGCTACTGGACACCTGAATTTCTCCTACAGGGGATCAATAAAATATCTATCTATAAAGGCTGGTCAGAATAAAACACAATCAAACGTTGTCTGGCACAAAGTGGAAGTGTTTCAGTTCCTTCAAGAGAGAACAGCAAGTGCATTTTGTTTTTATGTTGCTGTATTGTCAGGTGCACCCAGCCACACCTTTTCAGCAGTCAGATGGCATTTACTTCCTGACAGTTCAACATTCTCCAGTCGACTTAGGATTTTATTGTTCGTCCATTTTGAAACACAACAAAGACAATGAATAATTTTGGATCAATTGTTTTGTGCTTTGTTTTATCTTATTCCAAATCAGGTAAGAACACAAACTTCCAGATTTTGTTGATATATTTTATGTGTCATTTCATGTGTTGGATATTTGATATTGATTATGCTATTGTAATAGTTACAACACCAACATAAAACCAAAGTGTAATAGTTATGTTTGATTTTGCAGAAGCTCATTATCTTGTTGTTTTAATGAGCGCTCATTTCACTGCAGAAGATGGTCATGATGCCGTCTACACTACTGAAGGTTACTACAACGCACAGTTTTTGATCTCGTATAACAGCACAATTGGCAAATTCATTGGCTACACCGATGAAGTACAGAAATTTGCAGATCTCGCCAACAAAGACCAGCCTTTTATGGAAAACCAAAAAAAAATCCTTGAAGATATTAAAAGAGCTGTTCCAGGTCTATCTAAGTCTTTAGACACAGGTAAATGCTGTATTTGAATATGTATTGTTACTTGATGTATTATTTACAGTATATAGCATGTCATAAAAACTTCACAAACTCTTTCTGTAGTTAAGCCTCAAGTACGAGTGTTCTCCACCAGAGCAGGAGGCAGGCACAAGCCTGGTTTCCTGGTGTGCAGTGCCCTCAGCTTCTATCCTAAAAGCATCTCTCTGACATGGCTGAATAATGAGAAGGAGGTGGTATCTGGTGTGACAGTCACTGAAGAGATGTCCAATGGAGACTGGCTCTACCAGAAGCACTCTTATCTGGAGTATACACCCAGCGCAGGAGAACACATCTCCTGCATGGTGGAGCACGCCAGCCTCCCCGCTCCTATGATCATCAAATGGGGTATGGGACTCCAGACTTCAGTCTTTCTGACGTTCCTCAGGTAAAAACTAAACATGTTTCTTTGATAAAGAGGAAAAAGAGGCATTTTCTGAGTCACAGAAAAACAAGCTGATGGTTGGGAGTGCAGGGCTGCTGCTGGGACTGGTGTTCATTACATTTGGAGCCATTTACTCCAACAAACCGAGAGGTTGTGCACTATCCAAGTTTTCAAAACCTCTCAAACAAAATATGTATAATTATGTTCTGTATGTTTTTTCTCTTTCAGGTCATGTGCTAGTTATGCAGTAATATAAAAATGTGGAGACTTTTGACGAGTTTGCAGTTATCCTTTATTCAGGCTTTAATTCAATCATTAATATTTTTTAATTGAGCTCCTGTGATGATATACCAAAATAAAGTAGTAGTTTGAAAACACATCAAGATAACGGGAAATGAATATTTATCAATATTAATTTGAGAAAAAAAGATTCTTAAAAAAGTATAAATGATGGCTCTTACATAATTACATCAATGTGCAATAAAAAGACTGCTTGGTATGGGATCTGGAATCATTCGTGGAGTATTACCATAATATTGACTTCTATCAGGTGAGACAAAGCACTAAAGTATGAACTAAACTAATGCGTGTTTAATTGCATTCTGAAATCAATCTATTGGACCTTTTGTTGGGTTTCAGTGGCATTTGCTTCGGTTGTGAAAAGGGGAATCGTTAAAACCCAACAGTTGTTAACACAATAGTCAACTAAACTTTCCATGCGTTTTAAAGACAATTGGTCATTATATATCTATTTATTTGTCTGGTCAAAAGTTATGTGTTTGCAGTAAAACTAAATACTTGGGTCACATCATAACTGACAGACTAGGTGATGATGATGACATTAATCGCCAGTGTCGAAAACTGTATGCTCAAGTCAACACCTTTAGTGCGAAAATTTCACATGTGCACAGTTGATGTTAAAATTAAACTGTTTTAAAATGTACTGTTCACATTTGTATACAGCCCCAACTGTGGTGCAGATATAAGAAGGCTGCACTACAAGCTCAAAGTTGCCTATAATGAGGCTTTCAGGATTCTGCTGAATAAGCCTAGGTCCAGTAGTGCTAGTCTGCTGTTCTGTCAGACTTGTGTGAACTCTTTCCATGCTCTAATGAGAAATATGATGTACAGGTTTATGTGCCGCCTGAATGTCAGTGAGAACTCTTTTGTACAGTCTCTGATGAACCCCAGTATTCTGTCGCTACAGGTCAGCTCTGTGGAAGCTCCGGTACAGTTGTCTTTTATAATTGCTTGTTTGTTGTGTTTGTGATGTGGTGTTTGTATTTTTTGGACTTCGAGCCTGACAAATAAAGATAATATTATACTATTATGTTTAGGCCGTGGATGTATGATTTACGCATGAGAAGATGAGAAGGCGCTGCAGGGATTTTGCGCATGCGCGAATTAAAACCATGAGCCGTTTCGGATTCTATTTTATTTTCATATTTCTGATGATTAAATGGCCCAGTTTCCTTCTATTTGTTTCCTTTGCTGTCTACGTTTACATTCATTACAGGACGCGGTAAGAGAACGATAGAGACGTCGTTTTCCCTTGGTAAGAAGCAAACACACATGTGCACATTTTGCTGTTTATTTTTCTGACACGGGTCTGACACAGTCCATCCCGTCCTTGTGTCTGTGGCGTCAGGCCGTGCTGTTCCCGGTGCGGAGGTCGTTCCATCGTCACCAAAACAAAACCACCACCAGTGCACCGCGGTAAAGTGGCCCGCATCTTTCAGCTCTATGAACAAGCGGCCGGCATCGGGGAAAATACGGTGCGCGTTTCTTTGAGAACTTACGGTAACAGCGGAACATCCTCAGAGTCACCCATTTTTATCGAACAGAAAGCGCGCTGGGGTCTGGGAGACACGTTTTTGTGATTAAAACCTTATAGAGATGCCACCCGGTACACATAGCACCAGCCCCCTACGATTCCTCCTGCAGATTGTGAGTCCTCAGGAGGATACCACTGTACCAAAGACCAGAAACTTTTACTGCAGAAATATTGATTTAAAGTAGCCATTTTGGTCCAAAATACCCCAAATAAAGTGCAAAAACCCCCCATTTTTGATCCACTGCTGATCCATCGACTAATTTTAAATTAGTCGCACACCTTTCTACAGTAAAGAGTTACAGTAGATCAAAAGTGACATGTTTTGACCATTTTTGGACCAAAATGGTTACTTTAAATCAATATTTCTACAGTAAAAGTGTCTGGTCTTTGGTACAGTGGTAGAGGGCAATCATGAGGTCATGAATCCAGTGAAATTAGTCGCACACCTTTTTACAGTAAAAAGTTACAGTAGATAAAAAGTGACATATTGTGACCATTTTTGGGGTACTTTGGACCAAAATGGCTACTTTAACTTAATATTTCTCAATATTTCTACAGTAAAAGTGTCTGGTCTTTGGTACAGTGGTAGAGGACAATCATGAGGTCATGAATCCAGTGAAATTAGTCGCACACCGTTTTACAGTAAAAAGTTACAGTAGATCAAAGGTGGGAATGTTCTTAGTTTTGTGTATTTTGGACTAAAAAGTGTACTTTGTCTCAATTTTACCCACAATTTCCAAAGTAAAGGTTTGTGGTTGTAGGCACAGCGGTGAAGGCAGTGGTGAGGTCATGAACCCAGTGGAATAAGACACTCAAGTCTTTTACTGTAAAAATGGACAGCAGCTGAAAATTTCACTTTTTGACCAAATTAAATGTCGAACATTTTAAGTTTTTACATGCTTTTCCAAATAAGGGTTTATTCACAAAACGAGTCTCCTAAGCGCGCTTTCTGTTCGAGGAGAAAAGCTGACTGCGAAAGGCTGTTCTGCTATTACCGTAAGCAGTCAACAAAACGCGCACTGTTTTTCTCTCGATGCGGGCCGTTTTACTTCGGAGGTGAAAGATGCGGCCCACTTTACCGCGGTTCAGAGCGGATCCGCGAGAACAGACGCAAGAGGCGCGTGATAAGGAGGAGATGTTAAAAGCGCGAGGGAGCGTGAAGTGTTCTCCAAACAAGAGCCAAAAGAGGACAGGAAAGACTGCGCGGAATTTGGTAAGAGGCAAGCCTTCATTCGCTGCTTTAGAACGGGTTTGACCGGATTTCACTATATATATATATATATATATATATATATATATATATATATATATATATATATATATATATATATATATATATATATATATATATATATATATATATATATTTTTATATTATATATTTATATATATATATATATATATATATTATATTATTATATATATATTTTTTTTTTTTACAGTCATCTATAATTAGATTGCTCCTGCTTTTAGACTTGGTTCAACTCAGGACCCAATTCGACCTAAAGATTACATTATTTACACTTATTTAAAAATTAATAATTCAAGTGTGAACTGCACTGGAAATGCTAATGTTTATTTGAATAATGTCCTATTTTGTGACTATTGTGACACGTAATAAAGATAATATACAGGCCTGGTTTATGTAGTCATTAAATTGGATTGGGGTTGATGCATCAACAACTAGAACTCACAACCAGGGCTGCTTCAATTACAATGTTGTCTCGATTAATATGAAAGTTAGTTTGAAGAAAAAAAAAGTAAAAGGTAATCATTGATAGAATACTCGATTACTAAAATAGTCGTTAGCTGTAGACCTACTCATAATCGTAACTGATTATAAAGAATAATATTGTAGAGAAACAATATGTGACGTAAGTTAAATTAGTTATGATTGCATGGAACACTTTGACACAGTGTGCTCCCTAGTGGCTGTCTGCATATGTTAATAACATGATTGTATCATTAGTTATACTCGAGAAGACCCCAGAAGGCAGAATAGGATGTTTTCCAGAATTATCCCACAAGTAAAGTTTGTTTTTGTCCCAGAATGTTCCACAATATGATTATTCATTTTCCATCTACATTGGAGACAAGTAATGGGAGGAGAGCTGAGCCAATGTAAGAGTTAAGGTGTTTTAGCAGGAAAAAACAGATGTATTTAAATAATTAGGTTCATACTGAGGTAATGTTACACTCTAAGAATATAAATAACATGTTTTGTAGCAATATCAAGAGCCACCCAACTTTATGAATGATTTGTGTTTATTTGCAGTTACCTGACAGGCTTCTGCACTTGTGATATGGGTCTATGGATGTCAGTTTGGCTGCACAGTGGAGCAGAGATAGCACCATCCTCCTCTTCTTCATGGTCTTCTCTGGCTGCGCCAATTCCAGCTCGCCTCGGGGTCCTCCTCCGCTCCTCTCCCAAAGCCCCGGGACACCTCCTCTCAAAATGGAGCTCCACTCACCGCTCTGCCCACCTCCTCCTCTCAGCCTGCAAACAAGAGATCACACGGACACCCATTGAACAAAGCAGTGATGGAGCAAGAGCTGAGACCGGTGTGAGCTCTGGACTTCATATTTGGGAGATGTTTTGGTCCCCAGAACAGAGAGGAAGCCACGCCGTTATTGGAATCTCCACCAAAAGATGTCCTTTGCAAGCATCTGGGTATAACGTGCTAGTAGGGGGGGACTCACAGTCATGGGGATGGGAGTTGAAAACAAATCAGCTTTGGCATGACAGTAAGAATCAAGGATTCTACCCAAGACATTTTCAAGATTTTGAGCAACAAATAATGTCAACAGACTCCACATGGAATGTCCCGGATCGAGTGGTGTTAGTGCTAGATGCAGACGCTGGGACATTGGGTTTTGTTGTGAATGGGAGCTTTCTTGGGACAGCTTTCAAAGGACTCCCTCAAGGTGTGGACTTGTTCCCAGCTGCCAGTAGTGTAAGAGGAGGGGCCACCATACGACTATGTTACTTAAATGGTGCAAGTGAGTTTCCAATATTAATGCTAACCTTTGGTATGGATGGATCTGAGTTTTGATGGACTGAGATTAGACAGAAACTCATAGGCCTACGTGATTGCTAAATTACAGTGAGTTTAGTGTTTTATGTTGAAATTAAATGTATTTCAGATGTCCGATATCATTGTCTAGATTAGCAAGAGATTCCTATATTTTTTTAACACAGGCAACTCATTAAAACATGTATACTGATCTTCACTGGTTCTCCATTGAACTTTTGGTGAATTAATTTACTATTTACACATTTAGAAATAATACTATAATCAATATTTGCTGTATGAACTCTTCTAAAACCACAAGAAATACTAAGGGCTCAGAGAGGCGCTGAAGAGGGCCTGGGAGGTATAAGTGACTGTAGTGCCTGTTTGGGGCAGTGACCCCCAAACTGGAGGAGTGATTACTCTGAGCCTTTGGTATTTCTCAAGGTTTTTGTGCTCTTTCACATCTTTTCTTTAAATAACAGTATAAGGCATGATTGACCTACTTTCAAATACTTTAAATGTATTACAAACCGTTTGTTTTTGTGTTTCTTGTAGGAGAACCACCAACACTGATGGCGTTATGTCATTTGTCCATTGGCCAGAGTTTGAAAAAGGACCAAATGGAGTGCCTTCCATTGCCACCACTTCTCAGGAGCTACTTGAGCTCAAGTCTGCAGTAAACAAGAATCACATACTCAGAGCAAAGACTCACAAGATTTGTATTTATTATTATTTTATCTGTGTGATAAATATATATTCTTCTACATTTGTAAAAAAAAAGTTTAAAATATTGTAATTTGCATCTGCAATTATTGTATTCAGATTAGGGAGAAGATAGAACTTTACAAAATGAGGAACCACAAAAAACTAATCATATGATATGCATTTCTAATAAATGTAATGGTCGGTTAGCTTCATAGTGTTTTTTTCCTGATCAACACTAAGCTATACAATATGGGCAACATATGAAAGATACTCACCTCACTAGCCAATAAAAGGGAATGGGGAAGATAAAAATGTCACACTTTGAAAAAAAATATAATAATAATGTGCATAACAGAATAGAGGCATAGATCAAAACGTTTTTTTCTGGACTGTTTTTTTTTCTTAACCTTTATTTAACCGTGAGAACTTCATTGAGAATAATAATCCCTTTTTCAAGAGTGTCCTGGACAAGAATTAACATAACATTTTACAAAAACGACCAAAACAGTAGTTTGGTAACCATGGTAATATCGTCACGTGCGTATGCTGGCCATGGATCTAGATCTGGCGCACCTATGGCTAAGCTAATAGCTAGCTCACATTAAACTTTAAATTAGCCTAGCTACCAGAACATTTTAGTTGTAATTATTTTTCTAATTCAGTAAACTTTGACATATAGGTTAAACATGTCTATATGGAAATAGCACAATGTTTTCCACAGAAAACTTGAGACATGGAGGAGGCGGAGGAGAGTTGTTTGACGACGGAGAAGACGAAAGTGCTCCTGAGGTAGTAACGTAAAAGTCTAGAAACAAAAGATATGAAGAACGAATATTTTCTTTTTTTCAATCAAATGTCCAGGTTTTACTGAGCGTCTTGACCCAAAATGGAGAAGTGGGTCTTTGTTTTTATGACAGCAAAGATTCCACTTTACATTTCATGACTGATGCGCCTGACAACCACGAGCTCCAACTAGTGGCAAGAGGTAAACCATTGGTGTTTATTCAACGTTTTTCTCATTAATATTCATAGCAGATAGCAATTGACTCAATTAAAATGATCTGAACACAATCATTTAGCTATTATAAGCTACATTAAGTGACTTTTATGTCCACCTCTATTTCTCGCTGGATGATTTGCTAGTTGCTAATACTAAAATGGTTCACTGTATAATGGCGTTATAACTAAGTCTAAGAATACAATATTTTATTTGGTGAGATTCAAATTAGATTGCCTTGCACCCAATTTTGAGTGACATCCATGGTGTGCATTAAAATCTCAGTATTTGCTTTTTTGGTCATTTTTGTCCATCCATCTGTTTTTTCTGTTATTCCTAGTTGTTCAGGAACTGAGTCCAAATGTCTTGGTTACCAGTGCTAAACAAGAGCGCAGCATGACCCGCTTCTTACAGAAACTCGGTAAGGCAAAGATTAGGTATGTTTTAGGCATCACAAGAATACGTCACTGACACGTTACCAAGTAATCTGGCTGTGAGAGAGATAAGTTATTTCTAGGTCAAGGAACATATATTTTTTTCTTTCTACTGACCTACTCCTATGTTTCAGCTTCAAATCCGGACTACAAACCAGAAGTGGTCACATACCCTCAAGTGGACTTTGGTAAACATTTTGTAGAAACGCTTTTATATTATGATGGTTTTATATGTTTTTGTTTCTGTTAAGTGTACAAATTGTGCAAACAAACTTTTTATGATAGTCGTATGAGACAGTTATGGAATTGCCTTTACTTAACTGTAACTTCTGCTACTCAAGACCAACAAGGAATTGAAAACAATTAGGAGTTCCACCTAATGGTCAAATAAGGTGAAACTAATGTAGATTTTTTAGGGAAACAAGGTGCACTTTGTTACATGTCTTATAGAGGGCTGCTACCTGCCTATATTCATGAACGTGCTATACAAATAAATACATTTGTCTTGCCTTATATATGGGGATAAGCAGGTGACGGACCATCCACCAGAAAGATTAAATTGTACGCTTTTATTTAATTTAGACTCCGTCAAATGTATGCAGGCACCACCTGCGTGTGTAAACCAAATATCGTCAGACCTCTGAAGCTGAGCAGAGCAGTGCCTGGTTATTACTGTGATAGGACCTCTGGGAACTAAAGGTGCCACAGTGGGGTGGCTGTAAAGTGCAAAACTGTTGTGTCTTTGGGCAAGACACTTCACCCACATTGCCTAGAATGGAGGGGCTGATGGCACATACTGGTTGACCAGCTTCTGTCAGTCCAGCCCAGGGCATCTGTAGCTACAGTAGAAGTTTGATGGGCATCTGTAGCTACAGTAGAAGCTTGATGGGCATCTGTAGCTACTGTGTAGGGAGTGAATTATCACCATTACACTATTGCAATATCATTTTTTATTAAAAGTCTGTTTTTGAATAGATGCTTTGAGTTATTTCTGTTTTATAACATTAGATAGGAAAATACAGTTCATATTCATTGACACAAACAGCAACACAACAGATGGCTAATGTTTCAGGTCTGGATGTGGGCAAGCAAAGGCTCCTGTCTGCCAATCTGCCCTTCCTTCCTGCCTCCATCACAGAGAAAGACAAACTGTCCTACCTCTCCTCCTGCATCTCCTTTGACTCCCCCCTCATGGTGAGTCATCTGTCAACATTTCAGTCATTATCCAAAAGCCTATCACTATTTATCTCTTTTATATATTTTTATTGACGTTGTTTGTCCATTGTTTATAGCTGAGGTCACTAGGGGCTCTGTTAAAATGTTTGGACAGGAGGCGAGTGGGAGTTGAACTGGAAGATAGCAGTGTTGGAGTTCCCATCATGCAGCTTCTCGCCTACACGCTGTAAGACTCCTTCATAGAGGAACCTGTGCATATAAACCTACAGGGGTCAACATTTAATCAAAAACACTTTTGATCAAAAGTGTTTTTGATGCCCTAAAAACATTGTCATTCATTATATTTTAACTATTTTCTGTTTCTCATTATTACATGGCTCAATGAAGCAAAGGGATTGTCAAGATTGATTCTGACACATACAGGTAAAATTGTGAATTTGAAATACAAGTCTTCAATGAAATATAAATAGCATTGAATGAGGTTATGCACTCACTGTTATATCAGCGTTTTGCAGATCTTCAAATCAGAGCTTCATCCATCAGTGTATAAGTTGCATTCAGGGGAAAAGGAAGGCCTCAGTTTGTATGGTGAGCATTTATTCTGCTAAAACAGTGACACATTTTAAGTGATCATATGTGAATGTTTTATAGGGGTTTTGAATCGCTGCAGGTGCAAGTTTGGCTCCAAATTACTCCGGTAGAGACATGACTTGTGAAAGTCCTATCTTTACTATATGTGTTTTTAACAATGTTTTTTTAGTCGGTGGTTTTTACGCCCGACTCAAGACCTGAATGTTCTGCATCGGAGACAGGAAGTAATACGGTTCTTTACATCACCTCAAAACTCTGACTGCCTGAGAACGCTGCAGTCCTCACTGCGGAACATCAAAAACATCCCTGTTATTACATTTTTCTATATTCTAATATTAAATACTTTCAAGGATACATTGTTGACTGACACTGTGTTTAATGTGTTTCAGACTCTTTTGCGCCGGATGTCCCTTTCTCACACCAAAGTCACTGACTGGCAAAGTCTCTATAAGGTTGGGTCTTTCTATGAGTTTAAAATGAGAAAAAACATTACTATAGCAGTATAGCCATTAACAATTCAGAGAAATATCCAATGAGCAATTCAGACTATAGAGATCCCACATGGATATGTATATATATTTTATTTGTCATAAGAAAGTAAAAACATAGTTAGAGTACAAACAAGCTCTACAGCAAAATAAAATGATCAGGTGGTGGGATTTGACTCCAAACTTTGTGTCAAGTCAACTGTACCTTTATTGTTTCAGCTTGAAACAGTTGGAAGCTTTGTTTTGAGCGCCTTAACCTGTGTTTTCCCCTTTCAGACGGTGTACAGCGCAGTGTGCATCAGAGACACTGTCCGACATTTGCCACAGTGCATCAAACTCTTCCGTGACATTTCAGAGGGATTTTCAGATGATTTACAACACATTGCTTCACTCATCAGCCGAGTTGTACGGTTGAAAATATTCCTCTGCTTTCTTATTCAATCATATTTTGTATAGTTAATACTTCAGCTAAGATTCAAACACAAAGAGTTGAAATATTCTCTACTAGGATGTTATCGTCTTTATCTTGTGTTATCTTATTTGAGTGCTCCTTTTTTTCCTGACTGTCCTGTTTCCTTACTGTGGGACAAAAAGATTCCCTCTTATCTTAGTTATCTTTAGTTTGGTTGTGATTTTATCATGAACCCTACTTCAAATTTCCAGGTGGATTTTGAGTCAAGTGCAGCAGAGAACCGCTTTACTGTCAAACCAAATGTAGATCCACAGATAGACGAGAGTAGGTGCACATTCAGAAGATGAGACGAGTTCTATAGTAGATTTAGGTTGATGTTTTGTTTTGTTTTGTTAGAAAAAAGACAGATGATGGGGTTGTCCAACTTTTTAACCGATGTGGCCAGAAGAGAACTGGAGCACCTGGACCCTCGTATCCCTTCCTGCTGCGTCATTTACATCCCCTTGGTCTGAATCTTCAAACTCATTACTCATACATAAATACAAAGTCATTTCTCAAACCAAAGCATCTTTCAGATCGGATTCCTGCTCTCAGTTCCTCGATTGCCCAGCATGATTGACAAAGAGGATTTTCAAATTGAAGGACTTGATTTCATGGTGGGATATACACATGTAGATGCACATTTGCTAATTGTAAGTTTATTTTCATGCAAGTTTGTTGTGCAGTTCCTATCAGAGGATCGTCTGCACTTCCGGAGCCAGAGAACTAAAGAATTAGACGACCTCCTGGGAGACCTGCACTGCGACATTAGAGGTCTTCCCAGATAAACATTGATATTACAGACATTTGTAGAATATTAACATAAAAATAAAGATATGCTTTTTTTCAGACATGGAGACGGCCATCATGACACATTTGCAGAACGCTGTTTTAGAGAGAAGTGGGTCCCTCTACAAGGTTAGCCTCACTACATGAAGCAAAGTATCTTAAGATATAAAAGAAATTATTGCTTGGATACTTTTCATACTGTGAATGAGAAATTTAATATTTGATGTGAAGGTTTTGGAGCTCTCTGCTGAGCTGGACTGTCTGATGGCAATGAGCAGTGCTTCTCAAGAGTATGGCTATGTTTCACCCAAGATTGCCAATCACAGGAAGATATCCATAACAAATGGACGGTAATACAATCGATTTCACAGTGACAATGATTTCCTTTTTAGTTTTTTTCTGCACTTTTAACCTTATTTTATTTATGTACTTGTCTTGTGCACACTGGGGAATGTGGTTTTACTGCAAATGGCAAATAAAACGACTAAATAACTCTTATCTATTAACTCTTTTCTGTGTAATCTGCATGCTTCCAGACACCCGCTGTTAGAGCTGTGTTCTCCAGTGTTTGTGGCCAACTCCTTTGACAGCAATGACTTCACTGGCAGAGTCAAGATCATCACTGGCCCCAACTCGTCTGGAAAAAGCATTTACCTCAAACAGGTCTGATTCTGCTGTAGATACTCCCTTTATTTGGAGGAGTGATGCACTTATCTGTCTCTGTTATTGCAGGTTGGCCTGATTGTCTTCATGGCACTTATTGGCTCAAATGTGCCTGCTAAAGAGGCAGAGATTGGTTTGGTGGACGGGATCTTCACTCGAATGCAGAGCAGGGAGTCTGTGTCTATTGGCCTCAGCACCTTCATGATAGACCTCAACCAGGTATTTTCAATGAAGGTTTCTTCATTCTATACAGTCTGCTTTATGGGAGCAGAGAAAAGATGGTGCAATTTCCACACTGCTGCCTTGTAGATCCACTCCCACTCTGCACCTGCCTCTGTCAGGATCCACTGCCCACAGATCAACACTGCAGTGGAATAACAGTGTGTCTGTTCTGCAGATGGCTCATGCTCTGAACAGCAGCTCTGGGAACTCACTCGTGCTCATTGATGAGTTTGGAAAAGGCACGAATACTGTAAGAGACTTTGTATGTGATCACTAACTGTAAATAATATATCCATGAGGTGGTTTAGTATATTTGAATGGTGAGATTATCACAATCATAATCAATAGATTGCTGTTCTTTCTTGATCGTAAGTTCATGAATTTGTTTCTGTTCTATTGTCGGGGTTCAAAGTCAAGCAAAACCTCAAAGTCGAGGACCTTTGAAATCTAATATTCAGGCCCTGCTCTAAAGACTTATAAATAAAGAGGGAATTCAAAGAATTGTATTCCTAACTATTAAAGCATATCTGTATGTGTACATAGGAATGTGAATTAGGAACAAACAACCTTATTATTATTGCACAACATCAAAATCTTCATATAAAATTGTTGTTCTGCAAATGGTTGCATTCTGTCTTGATTGGCTATTGAAATCAGCCAATCAACGAGTTAATTACACACGTTTTCAAGTTATTCAACCCTAGAAAAGTCATCATCTACAAAAGTCAACATGTATGAAACTGTTGAGAGCAGTGGATCACCAGTGTTCTCTGCGCCAGGTGGATGGTCTGTCTTTGCTCGCTGCTTCTGTCTCGTTCTGGCTGAAGAAAGCTCCAGTGGATGTTCCTCACGTCCTTTTGGCCACAAACTTCCACAGTCTGCTGCAGCTGGGTCTGCTGCCTTTCTCTGACATGCTCTCACTCTTGGTATGAAGGCACAAGATCCTCTGATAATCTTATCTCAAGTGTTGTTAAGAAATAAATCCATGAGCAACTGGTACCTACAAAAAGAATATTCATCAGACCGGTTTTGAGCAAAAGCAAAATTGGTTTGAGTATATTCTTTATAATATGTATTTTTTAATTCTTAAGATTTGCTTGAAATAAAAAACAATAAACATATCCAGTTTAATCTGTTAGAGCCTAGTAATTTCACTTATGGATCAATACATTTTTTTGAACTTATAAACAGATTTTTAATAGGAAATGATTTGATTTATATAAAACAAACAATTTGATTTGGTTCAACATTAGATTATTTCATAGAAAAAAGGGGACACTGAGTTGAAACTGAAGATAATTTATTTAAGCACATTGTGATATTTTGCACCTTTGGGTCTAAATGTACTTTCCATTGCTTTGTGTGTGATACTTGAACAGCAACAATAAAAAAAGCATTATCTTATTTCCAAGATGAAGAAAGTCCAAAAGTGTTTAAGTGTTTATTTATCTCCTGCCTCTACTGTGAAATTATGCAAAGCCTTTGTGACAGCGAGATCCTCCAATTAGCTAACGAGAAGCCACCCCTGGAGAATGTTTTACCTGGTTATACAGTATGTGTTTGATGTTTGATAAGTGATAAGGACTATGTGGTTGTGTAATTGTGTGTTTATGTGTCTGTGTTTGTGTGTGTGTGTGTGTTTGGGGTGGTGGTTTAGACTCTGGAGACGGCTCTGGACGGAGATGAGTTGGTTTTTCTCTATCAGCTGAAGGAGGGAATGTGCAGGTCCAGTTACGCTGCCAACATTGCCACGTTAGCCGGGCTGCCAGCTCACCTGATTCAGAGAGGAACAGAGGTAAACAAAACACATCCATGCACCAATGAGCAGTGATTTATGTTCAGACTGACCAGTTTGAAAACGTCAGGTGGCCATTGAACTCATATATTTATTGTTTCATCTACTTAAACCTTTAGAAGAAAATATGAACATTTACAGACATAGTTGCTCATGTTGTATAGTTTGAAGGTATTACTTTTGGGTTGGAGTCGATATCGTGATAGATCCATGGAAGGAATATCCGAGCTTAGAGGCCACAACAGTTTCCCTCAAAAACATACTTTTGTGACTAAGTGCGATTCCTTTCACAGGTGTCTGAACTGTACAGGACTGGCAGGCCCATAAAACGTGTGGAGAAGGCTTCGTGTGACGAGAAATCCAACAGGTTGTGCTTACACCAAACACAAGCTTTACTGTAAATCCACACGTACATTCACACTCGTTCTTGTCCAGGTGTAGAAACATCGTGGAGATGTTCCTAAAACTGGATCTGGACGACACAAGTCTAGATGTGCAGCGTTTCTTGAAAGAGGAACTCCTGCCCTCTGCTGGAGAAATGCCGAACTATCGAGAGCTCTAAACATAAGTTGCTTCGTTCATTTGGCTCTGTTCTAATGTCCTAAGCTTATTACGCCATGGCTCTAGCTAATACATGCTCAATACTGTTGTTTGAAGTTTTAGATATTGTCTGAAAAGAGATTAAATGAAAGAAGATACATTTGCTGTACAATTTTCTGGTGAAGAAAACTGGAGTTTCTCTCTAGTGTTATGTGTTCTTTATACCACAAAAAGCTTTTATAAAAATGTATAATTCATTTATAATTCTGAACCCCAATAATAAAGTTACTAAACATGGAAGTTTTAATTTTTAACCCTGCTAGACTTAATAAGTCCTTAATAAGTCTATCAGTGTTCTTCAACTTGGTATGCAACCACTGAGGAGGGTGGATTTGAATTTAGTATTTTTATAGAAACTTTTATTTGTGGCACATTTGCCATCTTTTGTATATATTGTTTAGGATTTTGGCATGACTATTATAACATTTATATATTTTTTTATTCTGGTCATTAAAATAAAAAATAAAAAATCAGAGATAAAGACAATGCTGGGGATGCTCAACACAGAACAGATTGGAAACCCGTGAGTCAAAGGCCCACAACATTTTATTACCATAATACAGCCACCATCAGGTTCTTTTCTATTTAAATATTTTTCTGAAAATACATACTGAGAAAGTCACAAAGGAATCACAAGTATATCAATTCTGAATATAAGTTCCCAATACCTTCAAATCCCCCAATAGCAGGCGATATAGTCATTGATAGTCTGTCCATCCCTACATCCAGTGCAGTGTTACAGAGGCAGGCAGCACCAGCGCAGCCACACTGAGCAGGAGCGGGGGTAGTGGCGAGTAGGCGGAGTTGCAGAAAGGCGTGTCGCAGCAGTGTTTGGTCATCGTGAAGACGGTTTTGTTGTTGAACAGCTCGACACTTGTCTCAGTCGCGCACTCTTCTGCTTTTGCACAACCCAAAGTCTTCACATCCAGGACATCCGCTGCCGTGGAGACAAGAGGGGAGCAGGATTCATAAAAGGAAAAATTTTCCTCATATTTAAAGTGTTTAAGACTAAAAACAAGGACAATTCCAGATATTTTATCAGAAGAATATTGTCATCAAAAAGTTTTGATTTGTTGTCACCATTTTGAGTCAAATATTCAAAGTAAATATTTATGAATAATTTTCAAACCATGGATATGTTTACAAGAGGAATTGTCTTAAAAAATGTATGTGCAGGTTTGAAACAATATTTTTTTTTGAGATATTATTATTAATATTCTGCAAACCTACCTTCCATCTAATCAAGGGCATCCTAATTGCTTACAAATAGATACATCCAAATAACGTAGGGATTGGCTCTCCACACATCTGAGAGGTGATTGTCTCAATAGAGATTAAGGTCATGATATTGTGTAACGTTCCAGGTAAAGCCGGCAAGGACAAAATAATACAAAAGACCCTCTACCGGAAAAGTTACCAAGTTCACTCTTAAATAAAACATGGGAAGAAGTGGGTTTGTAACGAGCAGAAACTGACTCGCAAAAAATGTCGAAATTAATCAGTTTTGACTTGTATATAGCCCGTATTAAGAACTGTGTTTTATGATATTGGGATTTCTCATTATCTATGTGAGCTCCAGCACTGCAATAATCCCTACATATATATGATAATTATGAAGTTGAAAAAGTCCTCCCCAGAATGGGTTTAGCTACATATTAAATAATGAAATATTTTTTCTTGAGGTTCAATCAGTTAACTCACTGGAAAAAAAAATATTAGCTACTAATGTATCATCTGAAATAGATCAAATACAAAAACTCACAATAACATTTTTTGAATATATAAACAATCTTGGTCTATATCAGAAAGAATGATTTTGTGCATTGTGAACATGTTGTAGTAGTTTTAGAATTTGAATTAGGATAAATCTAAACTATAATTAATACCATCTACAACTATCTCTCACAACAGGTTTTCACAGGTTTTTGTTTGGCTTCTATCACAGATCAGCTTTTTCATACTGATACTGATACCCACACTCACTCAACCCTGAGTCCAAAACAGAACATGTTTTCTGATAAGATGAAAACAGCATGTTGTTCACAAAGTTTTGCATTTAGAAGTGTCCTTCGATAGTGGCAGCTGCCCGTGTCCACTGTTTTTCAAGCCTTACGTAATATCACTGACTGAATAAACAAACTTTGAAATTGTATTAACTGTAGCAATTTCTACCAGTTGGACTTGGACAATGCGCACCTGCCTTCCCACGGCCTGTGTAGCAGCGCTCAGTGTGGCTGCAGTTAGTTGTGGTGGTGTAACATGCGTCCCAAAATCCCAGGTCACATCGGAAGCACTCCAAAAAGTCCTCCTCTTCGTACTCCTCCGCGTCCATTAGCTGCTCCGGCATCTCCTCCGGCATCTCCTCTTCCTCACCTGATAGAAACAATGCACAGGCTTATCCCACATGCTTCACTTCAGAGAAGTTTCCTGGCACACTATCTTGTTCTCAGACTGTTACATAACCACACAGTCTCAGATAGTCTTTACTTGTAAAGTGACACTAAGGACTGCCAGGCTGGGACATGAAAATGATTTAAATCCATCTGGACTCCTTTTGTCCATTTATTTCTGCAAGTCGGTAGTCAGCACAATGGCTTTATAACTAATATATACAATTCAACTACATTCAAAAAGGCTAAAACTTATAGTAATGTATTTACTTTAGTATTTACTGTTTCTGCATACATTTTGCTTTATTCTTCAATAAAGGGGCATTTTGTAGAAGGGGTCCTTCACCTGCTTATCTCAGGAACAAGGTATTCATTTGAATGTTCTGAAGTCTGGTATAATGTGAAATCTTTCGTATGTTCAATTCCAAAAAATTATGATATTAATCCAAGAAAAACAGTATCATATCCATAGAAAATATAAAATGAATATGTTATCCCGCTAAGTATATCCCATTCACACCTACATGAAGCACCGTTTATGCTCATTCTAATTAATTAATTCACAATCACTGTCTTGTTCAGTTTTTTTATGAACAAGACAGTTGCAGTTGATTAGATAATCACAATGCAATCACATAAAAACATAAATAATAAGACAACTAAACAGTTTTGAGCCTATATTGGAATAATAATAGAGTATCGGCCATTATAACATTTTAAGGAAGACTCTAATCTAGCGACTGAATAAACACAACTGTGAACATTACTTAACATTTTGATCATAATGGTACGTACTTCTGTACTATGAAATCTGAGTGAGATCTTTACGGGCTATTTTAACTGACAGTGGATTCGGACAGACCCGACGATGTGGGACTAAAAATGTAAAATCTGTACATGTAAGTATGGTGAGTGCCTCCCTCCGTGTGTGTGTAAGTAAGTAGTAAGTAATCTTTATTTATATACCGCCTTTTCACTGCACATCGGAGTCTCAAAGCGGTTTACAATTGCTATTTTTGGGAGTGGGGGTGCCAGTACAGGAGGCACATGCCAGACCTATTGTACATATTTTTAGAGGTAGGGGAAACCGGAGCACCCAGAGGAAACCTACGCAGACATGGGGAGAACATGCAAACTCCACTCAGAAAGGCCCTGGTCCAACCGGGATTCGAACCCAGGACCTTCTTGCTGAGAGGCGAGAGTGCTATCCACTCAGCCACCGTGTGTGTGTGTGTGTGTGTGTGTGTGTGTGTGTGTGTGTGTGTGTGTGTGACTGCAACTTTGGGAATGCATGATTAAGGTATTGTGTGCCTAACATGTTTTATTTGTTTTGCTTTTGTTCCATACGTCTGTGTGTTGTGTCTGTGAGTTGTTATGTCTGGATTTTGGCCAATGACAATATTCGCTGCTGCTCCTAACGGGCTAATCCCTTGGTTAAGTTGTTGCTCAATGAGGTTCACAATCCTTATCCCCTCTCATCTTGTTAGCTGCGACTAGCTCAGGGTGAAAAACAAAAATGGATGATTCAGTTTATAGCTCTAGAAAGTACTATCATTTCTCACTTTCTGCATAAATACTTCTGGCCTTCACAAATCAGACTTGGGACAAACACGAGACACACTTTTCAAGGGATCAAACATTTCAGGTTTTGGTGTACCTCTGTTATATCAATATAGTTTGGACTAGTTTAATATCTCTGCTTGTGCGTTGCAAAATGACGTACATTGTCATGTTAGAAAGCAAACCTTGCACTCTTTCTGAAAAAAATGAAAATAAACCCCCAGGCTGATTATGCTTTTCTCTTTTAAACGCTGCCTCTGCTCTCATTTTTCAGCAGCTTTGTCGACTAATGTTTACCAACCCCGACATTTCAACCAGTATCATCAAATCAATATCTTTTTGTAATTGCCCAAAATTGTCCAGATTTCTGAAAGGGGCATCACAGAATTTTTAAATAACTAATACAGTATATGATTGGCAAGAATATATATGAATATTCTTGTCCATGTCTCGTGTCTCATACTGTACGTAGCCATCATTGTCACAAATTGTTGTTGTGCTTCTGATATTCCTTCTTTTCATATACTACACATTGCAACACTATAACATCCCGACTGTGGGATGAATGCAAGTGCTCTTAACTAATCCTCTACAGGAAATCTTACTAATCATAACTTTGGGAATAAAAGTTGCAATAATTCAAAAACCAAAATTTATGAAAACCTGGTCAGACGTGTTGTTTTTGTGTGCATAATCTTACCTTGCACAGCTGAGAGCAATATGAAGGCAACCAACCAGAAACCCAGTCTTTTCATTTTGGTTGGGGATGTCTTCCATTGACACCACCATGAGCACTGCTGAGGACAGGAACTAGTGCTCAAATTGGATTAGGGGCTCACCTCTATAGCCTTTGTTTGAACCGTTTGCACACAATGGTAGATCTTTTGTTTGATACAAGATAAATGTACCCTGCAAAAAAGACTTATACAACTATAAATGAAGATGTACACACTTTTAGTTCTTTTACATAGGCAGTATGGGAAGAAATGTGCATATTTTCCACACATAGCCGTTTGCTAAGTTTATTGTAATTGCTGTTGATGTTTTCAAACTAATAAAATAGTCTCATCCACATATGGATCTTCAAGATCAATACAAAAAATGTCAGAATTAAAGCAGTGTAGAAACCATTGAGATATCTCTTTTTATTTTTTACCTAAAAATCTAAACCTTTACTAGGAAATTTGTTTAGGTTCAGATTTCGGATTATTGCCCTGACTGCAAGATGGACTTTACATTTAGAGGGCTAAAGTTAAAAGCATTTATAACTGCATTCATTCACTGCTGCTGACCCAGTGCTATTTGTAAGTCCCTTTCGACTTGATGCTCAACTTTTCTAAGGCTCCGGAAGGGGGTTTACAAACCGTCGCTATTGTAATATTTACTAACTTGCAATTTATCCTTTTATAATGAAGCAGGAATTGCATGTGTCCAGTCAGCCCACAGTTAAGAGGCTTATATGCCCTATCCGTCTGCAGAATGAATGAAACAACCACTGAGGCTATAGGTTCCTACGCCAGGGATACTGATGCTGCATATATAAACCATGTCAGCCAGTTATGCAACGTCGGAGTACACAGAGCTGTACAGAGAATTGTAGCGCAGCTCTGTGTATGGCAGGCCCCCAGTGCGTCATGTAGTAGGAGATTTCACCTTTGAATCTGTTGTGATCAAAGGATTATTGAACAGAACTGGAAATTGCTGGGTTTAAGAGCATTCCACAGGCCAGTCCTCGAAACAGCAGGGAGTAGTGTAGTTGTTGATAGGGAGTGTCATGTTGTATGGCGTGTTTGGATTGCAGTAACTAAATTATTCACAATCACAAAATCACTGCCTTCTATGGGACTAGCCTAGGACGGAAGAAAATATCAAAATAATACGATGTTTTTGAAGCTGCTCATCACCTGCATGCATTCATAAGAATAAAGTTAAAGAACTTTTTCATAATAGCATTATCCTGGGAGATACATCGTCATATTTCCATGGAAACAAGCAGAGCAAGTATGAGTTAGGTTTGTGGAGATACACATTTATACTAAAATCATTAAAATATGAATCAAACATTTAAATGGAATTCATGAATGGAGTGCTATCATTGAACAAAATCTTGACATTCGAAGAATGAGTAAAACGATGGCGCAGTGGTTAGCGCTTGAGCTTCACAGTAAGAAGGTCCTGGGTTCTATCCCACCTCCAGGCATGTTCTTCCCGTGTCTACGTAGGTTTTCTCTGTGCGCGCCGGTTTACCCTCTCACTAAAGATATATGTACAACAAGTCTGTCATAATCCTCCTGTGCAGCGACCTCACTCCCATCTCTGTGTGGAGTGAGACTCAAATGCCCACAACAATTGTAAAGCGCTTTGTGACTCTGGTCTGTGAAAGGCACTATAGTAATTAAGATGACTTACTTGTTTTTAGACAAAATGACCAGAATTGTGATTCACAAATGTGTTTTATTTAAATTTTGTATGTGGTATATATAAACTGTATTTCTTAGATGTGTTTTCCTCGCACATACTAGTGTAACAGCACTCTTGTTTGAATATCTTTGAATGAGTCTAGGCTTCATTTTAACACCTGTATTTCTTGCTTCTTTCTCTTTTATGAAGATCCTTTGGGTCGAGTACTTCCCTTTAACACATTTCTTTCAACTATATGCACTTCTACATTTGTCGATACAGCTCATACCACCTTACTGTACCTCTTTCCATGAATCCATTCTCTCATCTGATTTCATAACCTTTGCGTCATAATGGTCAGCACCACCAGCAACAGTAGAAACAAAGTAACAAACCTACTAAATTTGAATAGATCTCACGCTGAGAGACTTCGCAGAATCTGTGAATGTGTGAATCCAAGGAGCGATAAGTGCGAAGGAGGCTGTTGGGCACGCAGTCAAGACACATGGCCACAGCACAAGACATTTACATGACGGCCAGTAACTCAGATGACTCAATTATTTATGGTTTTAGATCATTATTATATATAATGATGTATATACAGTATTTGTCTGTAGATAATTTCTTTCAATATTTTTTGGCCTCCTACACACTTGCTTTTATGGAATTCTTCACAGTGAAGCCACAGACGGCACCCGTTGCTCTGTGGGGTTTGACCAGGCTGAGCTTCTTCTTTGGCATGAAGTATAAAATGTTTCTATGGAGACAAGCATGTCACTGACCAGATCTGTGGAGAGTTGAACACACCTGTCATCACGGTAGAATGTTCATATTCAACTTTAAGCAGAAAATAATACTTCTATGTTTCTTCTGAAACAATGTCCCTATATTATTACTTTTCCTCCAGATAACTAGTAAGACCCAAAGCTGCAGCATAAGGATTCGGGAAGTTCCATCCACTCTGGATGTGGAAGTTCATTTTCCCTGTAGGAGTTTTTACAAGTCCAAATATTAAGAGCTCGAAGCCACATTTGAGGCTTACTTTATGTGCTCAATACTATCCGCAGTGTTCTGTTTTTGACCAGACAATTAACAATTAAAACCGCACATGAAGTAAAATGTGTTCCTTAATTTCTAGTGTTCTTTAAGTTTCAAATACAGTTTTCTTTAAAGTCAATGTTCTTCCCCAATATAAAGTAAAATTACACAATGATCCTGCTAAGGTGTCCAAAAGAAGTTTACTGAACTGCTTAATAGCACAAATATGCTGAAGAATGTGAGCAGATGCTAATGGAAAAAGTGACAAACGAAGCCACTAAACTTCCACCTGGTGTTTAAAAAAAAAATGTGTCTGTAACTAGGAAAATGTGTCTCAAGTCGTCATCTGGATGGCAGGATCCCAGCGTGAACCCAAACAAAACAGCCTAAGACTAGTCCTTAAACTTCTATAAAACCTACAGCCTCATCCCCAGTGCAATTAGAGGGAGAATGCAGCGGATAATTAAAGTCCTCCCTTTTTAAGGCTGTTTTTAAACATTGTTCTTGCATTGGCTTTCATACATAACCTATAGAACAAATAACAATTGAGCCTATAATGCCCTTAAAACAAAAATAAAGCACATTCAAAGCTGCACCTGATTTTGAAACAGGGAAGGATGTAATTATTGAAACCCCATATCAAACCATCCATTCATATTCTTCTGCTTCATCCATTGCCGTGTTGCGTATAAAATCATTTCTATGTGTTTCAAATGCTTCACCACAGCAATTATTAGCTCCCAGTAAGGATGCATAGCTTGGCTCTTCTTTACAATTTTACAGTAGTTCTTGTTTTTACTATTCATTTTCTGGAGGGAGATTTTAGTTGACTTGCATTTGACTACCTTTGGACTTTCGATGGCACTCAGAGCGTCCAGATTTACGGTTTAAACAAAAATAGCATATTTCCTGTTCATGAAAGGTTTATTCTAAAAATCTGAATTATTTGGTATGGAGAGTTCTTCAAGTAACATTCACAAAATTTCACTGCATCCATTAAGTTCAATAAGTGTCTTGCCCAAGGGCCCATAGCAGCACTCACCAACAGGAGATGGTTTCACTATTGTGGACTTGCGGGTCAGTTTTCTGGAGCAGGATTTGAACTGCCAACCTTCGCCTCAGAGGACACGCACTCTACCAACAAAAGATTCTAAATACATGAAGAATGCAGCAGTGAAAAAACTAGTTCCCTTTCATTTACAAAAGAGTTCAAAAACCCATATTTAAGCTCATATTTTTTCATATGAAACATACTTTTCCTGGAGAACTTGTTTCTTTCTCTATTCTCAACTTTTTCCTAAATTGAATGCGGAGTCGGCCACAGTACTAATTAGAAAAAGAACGCAGCGGATAATTAGAATCCCTTTTTCTCAAGGCTGTTTTTTATTTTATTTTTTTAAATTGGCCTTTTTCTGCTAACAATGGCAGAATGCTGTTGTGTATTTGGATTGTTTTCCGTGATCTGGAAGAGGTGTAAATGTCGGAGTAAAGCGTGGGAATGATGAGCTGATGTGAGGTCAGGCTGGTGGGAGAGTGACTTGTGGTTAATCACTAGTTTTCACGCAGCTGCTGTCATAATAACTCGCAGTTGTGCTGTAAAAATCATTGTGTTTTTGAAAGAATCAAAACAACCAAAGCTGAGAATAGAAATGTTAATCACCAAACGCTGCAGTTAGTCTTCGCATTGTATACTGTGTAACTTTGACCTTTACTGAAAGTGGGGATTGTCTTGAATGTTGTTCAATTCATGACATTTTACTGAATGTTGCAACTCAAACCCTCAAACCCTGGTGTGGACCTGGGCTGAAACGAGCGCTAAATGTATCTCAACTAATCAGTTATTGAAATATTTGTTTATCGAACATGATAATAGATTAATTATTGGTTTGTTTTAACCTTACACAGACCAAAACAAGCAAGTTTTATGACTGTAATTCTATAATGACTGCGAAATGAAAAGTATTTTTAATAAGCAACCCAAGTCATCTAAGATGTTCTCCTGGAGCATTACTTTGTTAAGATAAGAGAAGATTGATCTCACAATGGAGAAATTTACCATTTAATTGTTTGGCTGAATGGATATCGTATCCCATATTCATTGACCTTTCGGGATCCAATCATTCCATTCCATTTTTCCATTCCATTTTCTTCCGCTTTATCCGTTGCCGGGTCGCGGGGGCAGCAGTCTAAGGCGTTCCCAGGCCAGCTGAGAGTCCCTCCAGCGTGTCCTGGGTCTTCCCCGGGGCCTCCTCCCGGTGGGACGTGCCCGGAACACCTCCCCAGGAAGGCGTCCAGGAGGCATCCTGAACAGATGCCC